TTATCTTTATTTTATTTTGAGAATGATTCCCATAATGGTATAGGAATGATTCCTATACAATTATAGGAACCATTCCCATAATATTATGGGAAATATTCCCATAATGATATAGTAATGGTTCCTATATAATTATGGGAACTATTCCCATAATGGTATAGGAAGGATTCCTAGAACATTATAGGAATCATTCCTATACCATTATGGGAATCATTCTCAAAATAAAATAAAGATAAAATCTTCGTGTGGTGTGAGTTCGAAATGGCTCCTATAATATATACACGGAAAAAAAAAAAATTGAGGCAGCCACATGATTTTCATGTTGTAGGCAATAATAGTTAAAACAACAATAATAATGAAATAATTATAATAATAATAATAATCTATATTATTAAGAGAATAAGGAAAATTTTGTGGCCAGTGTATTTATGGGATAAAATGTTATGGGATAAAATGTACGATCCGTAGATTGTTAATTTTTCTTATGAGATAAAGCGCGAGCAGGATTGTTTGCGACACCTAATTTGTTGTGTATTGGCGTCTGGGTTTCTCGCAGTTCACCTAAATCTTCGTCCCATTGCATCCATTTGTCCTCAATGCAGACCTTGTTTCTGTAGAGTTTAACCTTGGCCCCTCGGGATTTATGATCTTTCGAGGCAAGTCTCAGATTATGCATTTCTGAGGCTTGTAGAGCAGTGAGATCATTTTTGATGTAGATTCTAGAACCATCTAAAATCCTTCTTTTATTAATCATAATCTGTTTTTTAACTTCGAGATTTGTTAGTGTTATTTTATAAATATTATGATCTTTGCCCAAGATTTTTAAGTTGTTAAAGCAATTGTTAAGGTTGAACTTAATTTTCAGGAAATCATTTATGTAGTTCGTTGCTGTTTCGGGATTGTCCAAGGCTTTTAGACCTTTGATAATTATGTTTGTTTTTCTCTCCCTCCTATCTTTATTTTCAAGGTTTTATGCAAATTTAAGAAGATTGTTCAGTTTCGCTTGATTAGGGCCGTTACTTGAGCTTGCAGGAGCACCTGATTCAAGTTTTTTGTTGGTCATTTTTAGGTTGATAGCTAGGCTTTCAACTTTCTCCTTGAGGTCTTTAATCTCCGCTTTATGTTTTGTTTCTATTGAGTCAATGCGCATGGTGATTTTATTTTCCAGTGAGGTGAATTTATTTTCGTTGCTGGTCTTGAGTCCGTCGATTCTTTCGTTCAAATCGTTTCTTAAGTTGTTAATGGCATTCAGGATAGTGTCACAATTGGACATTGCTGTAGGAGAGGAGGATGCAATTGGAGTAGAAGTCATGCCGCTGTTAGGAGATGAGCAGATGTGTTCCTCTCTGAGTTGTTTCTTTTTTTGAAGAGGCTAGTATTTTATCTGCCGTCTCCTGAAAGGATTTCTCGAGGCTGTCGTCCAGGTCTCTTTTCCTTTTGAAGTAGTCTTTTATCGAGCAGGATGAGCTAGAGCGTTGAGAATTTAGTCTTTCGAGGTTTGTACGACGTCCTCGTCTGGATTTGGTGTTAGGAGAAACAACCGAATTGTTTTGACAGGCAGTGTCTAGCTCTTTGTTATGGTTTGCATGCGCAAGCGCTGTCTCGAGTATGCAGGTGTTAATGTCTGTACTGTTGGCTTTCTCCTTCTGTGACTGATCCACACACATATGCACTACCGAATTTTCGCCGGTTGTGGCAAGTGTACTATCTTCACTAAAAACATCACTCATAACCATAAAATCTAACGCATAAATGACTAGTTATAAATGTTAATTAATTAAATTAATTACACAGAGATTCATTCAGATTATTATATCCGATTAAAGAGCACTTTTAAAACCACAGATTAGATATTGATTAAGGGAACTATTGGTGAATGAATATAAAGAATTCTTATAAAATTCAGGAGCACAAATAAAACACGTCTATTCAGTTATACAGATAAATGTAACCCCCCTATATATTTATGAATTTATATTAATAACGTTAAAAATAATGAATGTAAGAAATTATAAATATCTATAAGCATAAGTGGAAAATAAAATCTTTAATGCAAAATTTATTTTATTTAATTACATAAGCTTAAAGAGTAAGAAATTGTTTTTTTTTTTTTCTATAAAATATTATTATTTTATTTAACAACTTGTATTAAGAAATTATTATATTTTTTATGGTGATATCAGTTAATTTTTTTCAATATGTGAAGACTATAGTATTTTAAAATTGCGTTTAATAAAAAGGGATTTACACAAATTTCTTCATGGGAGTTTTGAAAGAAGTTTTTGCTGTTAGAAAAAGAAAAATTTTTTAGATTCCGAATTAATTTTACAAATTATGCGTGATTATGTTGAAAAAAAATTTTTTTTTTACTGAATTTTAACATTTCATGATTTAATAAATATTTGCCAATAATTAAAAAATACTTATAGCCTGTTGATGATTAATTTTCGTTATTAAATATATGAGCTTGTTTTATCACCATTCTGTTATTAAATATTTTTTAAATTTTATTGAAGAATCGTTCAGACTCTTGAATAAAATAATGATGATAAAATAAAATTAAATTTGGTATATCAATAGTTTTTCTTTTTCAAAATATTGCAGTAATTTATGAGCGATCATCACATCGCACTATTAAAACTACACATTCACTCAAAGAAAATTTAGTAACTGTTAATAAAAATTTCTCAACTATTAATAAATATCAATTAACTCTTACTAAATGAACTTATAATAAATAATAACAAATATTAATAAAAAAATATTTAGTTAAAGTTTAAAAATAATAAGATTTACTTTATAAATAAATAAATAAATAAATTGGAAGTAAATAAACTTTTACTTAATAAATCCTTCAACAAGTGCGGAAATAATTTTAATCCAAGCAGATAAATCTTTATCATATTTATCAAAATCACAACATTGGTACAAATTTATAAATAAATAATCTGATTTCTAATAAACTTTAAAAATCACAGAATTCAATCAGAAACCTGATTAATATTGAGTAGATTTTCCCATAATAAAGTCCGAAATAATATTTAAAGCAGAGGGAAGGAAAAAAAAGTAAAAATAGTTGCGATGATATCGAATTAATTAGGTCGGTGAGCTCAAAAGCGCCCGAGAGAGGAAGAGGAAGGATCGTAAGGTATTCGGTAGCTTGCAGTCATGTTTGAGAGAGTAGAGGTCACGTTACTTCCCGTTCCACGCGTGACTTAACCCTCGGGCTTTAAAGTTACCCTATGAAACTAACTCAACGCAGCTGGTACTTACACATTCAAATTCACCTACACCAATACATTTATATTTAAGCTCGCTCTTGAGTAACTACTCACTGTGTTACTGCATCTATGTGTGTGTTTGAGCACTAGTAAGAGTTGAGTCTACTAATGCACTAGCATGAGAAAGGTGGATGGCTTAGCAAAAGACGCAAATGCTATTATAGCCTTAGGAAATGAGAAAAATGCTTCTTTGCAAACGAGACACAAAGGAAAGATGCTCAGGATAACGAGTCAAAGAGTTATGGTTAGCCTCTTTGAGTGTATATTCTATAAAATACTTAAATTACCTTTTAGTTACTTTTAGTTTTATCAAACTTCGTTTATTAATTAATCCTTCATTCTAATTTTGAAGGTTGATTACTTTTTTTATTTTTTTTAAAGTTATGCATTGTAGCCAGTTTCATGTCATAATTTGGAAAAAATTTTGTCACTATAATTGGAAAAATAAACACTTGATTCGAGAAATTACTTGAAAAAGAAACTACTTAATTCAAGAAAAATATTTTCTTTAAAACTTTTAGTGAGAAATAATCAGTTCAAATTAATTGAAAAATTTTTTCAGTGTTAGAATCGTGCCAATAATAACAAAGATTAAAAAATACAAAAAAAAAAAAGAAGCAAAGCTTGCGTCATCAAGCTAGCAGTAGCAAAATAAATTTTGGACGGATTTTATTAACGGTTGCTCGGACTCTAAACAAGCAACAAATTTTCAAATAGATCTAATAATAATTTTAATTAGATCTAAATTGATTTAATTAGTAACAAATTTAATACCACCAATGAATTTTATTGCTTAAATAATGAGTCAATGCTTGATGGACAAATCTATGCTAGCTTGCTCTCTTAAATTAAAATAGTGACTTTCGACTATGAAATAGTGACTATTCACTATTTAGTAGTGAAAAGTATACCACTATTTGAATTAGTGATCTACTCTGCACTGCAGAAATAGTGAATAGTCACTATAGTGGACCCTAGTCATTATTTCGATTTAAGAGAGTGATAGACTTAGAAAGAAGTAAAAAATGAAAATAAAAACCTAAACAAGTACTTACGACGTAGAGACCCTCCAGAGCTCCAAGAAGAGTCACCAATTCGACATTTTGGAAGCGTGAGTCAGGAAGCAAAACTATCATAGGACATCTCACACCGGCTTCTAGAGCTCTGCGTCATAAGTAAAAGCATAAAGTTGAGTAAAACAGTGGCAACTCGTAATAAAAATTTCTAATATAGTTATATCAGGTATATATTCTAAATATTGTAAGGGGACATCCATTAATTACGTGAGCTATTTTTCGATCAGTTTAGACTCCTCCCCCCCTTAGGTGAGATTTAGTGAGATTTGTCTGGACCCCCCCCCTCCCCTTACGTGAGATTGACGCTAAAAATATTGTAAATTAAAATTATTTTTATTATTCGGGAGAATAATAAACCATTCAAGTATACTATAGTTAATTTATTTAAATTAAATAAAATTCAAAGCAAAAAAACATAAAACAACACTTTTTTTAACTTTTTAACTCAATCCATGGAGACTCATGTACTTTTTTATACATACATATTATAATTTATATTATAATTATAATGTTAAAGAAATTCACCATTAGCTCTGAGAAGAGCTTGTTTAAATCATCAGCGTAAATGATTTTTCTTACTACGCTGGTCGAAAGTACGGGGTTTCTGTTGCGATTTCACTGCAGAAAGCCTGACATTTATGCCGTGGTCGAGTCGCGCATGCGCTTTACGACGGGGAGCCGAAAAAATGTATTCATGCACTGACAACGAGACACGAGGCGGCAGAAAGTCCAAAAGTCGGTAGTCGCGCTCACTCTATTACTTATGTTTACAAGCCTAACCTTACTTGTGATTGCTATGAATTTATCTGAATGTATCGGTTTTGTTATGTGTCAATGATTTGAGATTGAAACTGAGTTAATTACAGAAAATAAATATTTATTTTAATGAAAATTAAAATAGCAGATATTTAATAAATTTTAGAATTTAAAAAAAAAAATAAATTAGTGCAAAAAAAAAAATTAGAAAAAAAATTGAAATGTAGAAATTTTAAAAAATTAAAAAAGCAATTTTTTATAAATAATTTTTTAATAGAAATTTTTATAAGCTTTTTTTTCATTATAATTTGTATAAAAATTAAAAAAATTGACAGCTATCAGCTAACTTCAGTATAATAGTAAAATAATCAAGTGCTTCCCTCTACAAAGTTTGCCGTCTCCGAGTCTGGCCTTTATTTAATGGCTGCTTGAAGATTTCATCGTAGCCATACATATTTTGACATTTAAAAGAAACGTGAATTTAGGTATTTGCCGAAAATTTGAAGCATGCGCACTAATTTATTTTTCTGCCTTCCGGCCGGAAAGTGGCAACTTTCTGGCCGCTGCGCTAAACAAAGTTGCCACATTCCGGCTACGTCGAGCAGAAAAATAGTATACACACCTTGGCCAGTAAAAAGTAAAGCCTCAGATTACATGTTTGTCAACCTTGGCTTCGCCTCGGCCAACAATTACATGTGATCTGAGACTTTTCTTATTTTACTGGCCTAGGTATGTAATATACTATACTTTATTTTTCACAATAAGCTTAATATTTTTTATTAAAATAATTCAATTACCGGAATATTCTTTGAATAATTTAACTGAATAGCTTTTATTGAGAGATCAATAATTTTTTCTTGCTCTCCTAGCTGAAAGTACGCTCATCCTGGACGCACTTTACTCCAGGAAGAGCAACATTTATGGCCGGCTCAGCCGGCTCTCTACGCATGCGCGCTACGCATATTTTCTGGCCGGCAGCACAGAGCCTCGCTTTCTTTCGTACTTTCGTGGTGCGACCGGCCTATACAGCGAGTTTCGACTGTATATAACAGTCACAACATCGTCTGTATGTAACATGTCAACACATAAACTAACCAAAAAGTGTCAAATAAATAAATAGTATATTACATACCTAGGCCAGTAAATAAGAAAGCCTCAGATCACATGTTTGTTGACCTCGGCTTCGCCTCGGCCAACAATTACATGTGATCTGAGACTTTTCTTATTTTACTGGCCTAGGTATGTAATATACTATTTCTATGCATTTCACGATTATGAATTCATTTTTGTGTTTTTTTTTTTTTTTTTTTTTTTAATATCAAAATTAATTTATAATATATTTAAAACTTTAAAATTATTGAATTAAATTAAAATCTTTTCTTAAAAGAAAGTAGTAATATGATAGATTATATATTAATATCTTTATTGACAGGTGTATTTGATGCCTGCCCCCCCGACCAGCAGCACTCGCTTCGCTCGTGCCGCAAATGTCGGGGGCAGGCATCAATTTTTTTCAACGCAATTTTTAACGTACTTTCGACCGCATAGCAAGAAAAATAGTATACACTACATGGGCAGAAATTTGAGAGCCCTGAACTGCGTGCCATGATGCCCTCGGCTTCGCCTCGGGCACATGGCGCGCAGTGCAGGAATCTCAACTTTCTGCCCTTGTAGTGTAATATACTATTAATAGGCATAAAATTTATTTTAGCGGGCAAAATAAACACTCAAAATAAATTTTTTTTTAATGTCTGTAATATTTTATATTTTTTGAAGTTGAGGTGAGATTTTTGATTATCCCCCCCTTGGCTTAGATAAGATTTGGTGAGATTTCATTGGACCCCTCCCCCCTCATTCTGAGCTCACGTAATTAATGGATGTCCCCTAAGATAATAATTTCCTATAATTTTTTATTCTTCTATAAATGCGTAAATAGATCAAAATGTTTTATCTAACGAAAATTGGATTAGTAATTGATTAAACTAATAATAAACGTCAGATAAGCTCCTTAGGACAGTAAAAAAACCGAATTTTGTTTTAAAATTTACCACCCGAAAGTCAAGTTTCCTATAAAGGGACGATTCAGCGATCATGCGATATCTGACGGAAATTTATAATACTACTTTCAGTTGAAAAAATAAATATCGACATATATGACCACACCAAGCCATTTATGGCACATCAGGACTTATCAAAAATTATATATACTAGAAATTTGAATAGCGCGCTACGCGCGCGCCTAAATTTTAACCAATAAGGAATCGTGACCCGTTTTTTTGCGAGTTTCGACCTTTGACTAACTTCAAGACTATCATGTATTTTAATTTAAAGGATATTAGCTAGACCATATCATGCTATATATATATGGACTCTTCAAATCTTCTGATGTAGCCGTATCAGAATTTTTTTTCACGGGTAACTTGTTTTGACTTGTATCATCAACTTTTTATTTTGAGTTTTTGAAACAACAGATGAAAAATGATCGTTTTCACATTGATTCATATAAAATTTAAACTTACATCAGGTATATCGAAAAAAGAGTAAATACAATTTTTTTTTTCTATAAGTTCTGAAGGTTCAGCAAAAATTTAATTTCCATTTAGCGTCGGAAAAATAATTCATGTTATTAAATGACAAAGTACTATTTCTATGTCCTTGTTGTATTTTTACTGTTTTCGTATTCGCACTCTCTTGACTAGTGTGCCGCGTGTGCGAAATCACTGCTGTATAGAGGCGTAAAGAAATGGTACATAAATGTTATTTACAGGTTTAATCTCTAGTTCTCTACAACGGGCTATACAAGAGAAAGAACGACAAAGTCTAGCCTCGAGGCAGAATTAACCTCTGAAATTTTTCCAAAATATAATTTAAAAAAAAAACTTTTTTTATTGTACGATAAGGTATAAAAAGTATCTGAGTCATTTTCCGTTCAGCTATTATCAATTACTTCAATAAACTCACCTATCGAATCTTTGTCAACAAATTTATTACTTTTATTTTTTACGTCAGTCACTTCGAAGCAGCTATTAATTCGGTTGTAGGCCTTTATTTATCACTCAAAAGTAATTTGATATCCGACGAAACAACTCATTCACTATCTATTTTTTCATTGGGACAGTTTTAAAATGAAGAACGAAACGTTATTATATATGCTGCGAATTTACATTTTCACTTTATTTTTGGCGTATTCAACAATCGTTATAAATGCTGAGCTCTATTGTGCTTATGGTGGAATGAGAGTAAGTAATTACCAAAATATAAGAAGAATAATGAAATCATAGCTTTTACTTGTAGTGTTTTCCCTTCTCTGTGAAAGCATGTTGTTTCGAAACGGATGCGTGTCAGTTTATATATGGTTACTATGAATGCGCACCTAAAGGTATCAATATTAGTAGAAAGAACAAAAAGTTTGGAAAATTCAAAAGTGGGCGCCTCATAAAGCTGATTCATTTTTTGAGAAACAAATAAATTTCGTAATTGATTTTTAAAAGAAAAAAAAATAAATAAGTAATTTCTTATAGAGTATTCCTAATTTTTTTTTTTAATTATTAGTGCCCATTTTTCTTGCTATATGTGCCCGCAGTCTAAAAAATTTTAGTAGTATGATTGCTTAATCTCATTTTAATTGATTAAGTGGCGCCATTGTTTTCACGTGAGAGTAATAAAAAAAGTTCTTCTGGATTCGTATATCATAGTGAATCTTAATGAAAATTCAATTAAATAAAAGCTACGTAAGTTAGGCTACTGATATGAAATACGGCACCAGTTTATCGAATTCTGGAACTAATAACAAAAAAACCTGGTCTTCATACACCAATTTTTTCGGGAGTTATCCCGAGTCCATACAAAATCAGCGTACATATATCCTTACGTTCACGTAAAATTTTTATCGAAATGTTATTTTTTTCAAAGTAGCAACATAAAATGATTTTTAGAATCTATAAGATAGATTAATTAAAATGTTTTCTCGATGTACACCTACTCATCTATATATACATATATATACATATATACATATATATTAGAGTGGTCCAAAAAAAAAAGTTTTTTGCCTATCATCTTAAAAGTTTCTCTAAGGCATAAAAAAAATTCCCTTCAAAGCGCAGCTTGATATCTCAATTCTTCATGAAGCTCAATGAATTTTTATTTTCCCATTTAAATAACACGTAAAAAAATTTTTTTTTGTATTTTTCGTCAATTATCCTTGTAGGGAATTTAATTCTCTACAAAAAAGTACAAAGGTAGTTTTTTCGTAATCTTAACGAGTAAAAAGTTATTGAGCTTTAAATACTTGCATAAAAGAAAATTAAAACGAAGATAGTTTCAAAGCATCTTTTCGAAAACTTTTTTGGTAACTGCATGTATTTATTTCAAAATTTATCAAACTAAACTGTCTCTAATATAATTAACACATGTCTTTTGGTGAAGTATTAACTAAGAATTATGAATAATTTCTCTCATTACAATTTGGATATTTTTTCTTATGAGTAGTGATTTTTTAAAATTGAACTTGAATTTCATTACGGAATCTGATCAAGAGCAAGCTAGTATTTCCGAATGTATACTGAAGTTATTTTTTTTATTTAAGAACATGTAGGACAGGTAGAACAGATGAATATTTAAATTTTGAACATGATGCTCGGACACTTTTTGACCGAATAAAAAATCATGAAACTTTGCAGGAGTACGTAAATAGAAGTCTTCGTGAATTGATTCTTTTATTTTTGAATTTAATCATTAAAAAAAAAATGATAAATAAACAGGTAGAGTTCGTGTGTAAAACTGCCTTATTGCATAATAATTGCTAATAAACTTACAACCAATATAATCTTTGAGACTGATTTAATTTTTTGGTTTTTTCTTATTTTAGTTTATATGACTTATAAGACATAATTATTAAAATGCAGCTAGGTTAGGGTAAAAAATTAATTGTCAACAAAAAATTTAATTTACTATATATCTTCATGTAGGCCGCAAGAGAGTGCTAAAAGTAAATTATCTAGTTAAATTTTTTTAAGCAGTGGTTAGAGTATTTACAAAGTCTGGTAATCTCCTTCAGTGCATTTTACATGTGGTTCAAATAAACAAACCGGTATATTAAATTGTCATTTGTTGTCACTGGTCCAGACTGAATTACCGATATCAGACTGTATACCATGTTTTTAAGAAAAAAATATAAATTACATAATCAAATACTTTGAAACAGAAAATGTGATACAACATGGATTCTAAAATCATATCTGATTGAATTTTCTTTTATTGCATTTAAAGCTTAATAACTTTTTACTCGTTAAGATTACGAAAAAACTACTTCAGTAATTTTTTGTAGAGAATTAAATTCCCTACAAGGATAATTGACGAAAAATACAAAAAAAAATTTTTTTCATAGTTTTACCGGATGAAAACGTAAATAAAATTTTTTTACGTGTTATTTAAATGGGAAAATAAAAATTCATTGAGCTTCATGAAGAATTAAGATATCAAGCTGCGCTTTAGAGAGAATTTTTTTTATACCTTAGAAAAGTTTTTGAGACAGCAGCACTTGAAAAAAAAATAAAAATGTTTTTTTTGGACCACTCTAATATATATAAGCAAAATAGTGTTCATTTGACTAAAGTTAACGTCAAAACTACTAAAGCTATCAGGATGAGACTGCTACCATTTGACGCAGAATTTTTGCAGATGGTTATAGGCTACTTATTTTTTGGATTTTATCAACCCTTTCTCATTCTTTTTACGATTAAATTTTATATACATTTTTCCCGCTAATAAAAACAAAATACTCTCATTTTTTTATCAATTTGTTTTTAATACGATTTTCTTTTGTTTTTATCACATAACCTTAATATTTGATTGATTTAACATCATTTAAAAGAATTTTAAGAAAGAAGCTAATTATGTTTGGTGAACTAAGTGTTGAAAATTTATATTTATATGCTGATCGTGTGTTTAATAAATAAATAATAAATTTTTCCAATAGCTTCTCTTGGAAAATTTTGTCAATTTAACACCGATTGCGATGACCGCGAAAATTTGAAATGTTCAGATGATAAGATATGTGCTTGCAAAGATCATTATGCTCTATTGAACGGTACATGCATACCAGTTTCAAATGGATTTTGTTCACACAACATCGAGTGTAAATTGCATGGCTTCTACTGTGTCAATAATGAGTGTCAATGCAAGTCTAATTTCACCTTGGTGTCGGAGCATCAATGCGTTGAAAGTAAGTATACGCTGTAAAAAAAAAATATGTATGTGTATCAGAGTACACAGGTAAGAAGTAAAACTTCTTTATGACACATCATTTTTCTACTATTTATAACTTCATAGAAATTGGGTAGATAAAGCTTAAGAAAAAAAAATTTTTCCATATTAAATTAAAGATATTTCAATATTATAATAACCATGCATACAGATAATAAGAGTAATTCATTTTATCATTGCACTTATGATAATTATTGTATTTCATCGCATTATAATTAACATTGTTGTCATTATTTAGACTATGCCATTATTTAATCTAAAAGCTATCCGTGCAACTTCCCGCTAATTCCATTCCTCCTAGGCGCTTAAAATTGTACTTATAACATTTTTGAGATTTTTAAGCTCAAAAAATAATTAATGTGATATTTTGAGCTCGCTGAGTTCAAAGAAATAATATTTTTATGCATTTGAGCTCTCCCAGCTCAAAAGTCTGATAGAAGTTTCATAGAACACTATTTTTGGAATTTTCAAACCGCAATAACTTTTGAATGGATTAACCAATTTACATGCGGTTGGCGCCATTCGACGCAGTTTCATTATCCTCATAAGTGATTTTCAGTTTTTAATTGATCGAACCGAAAATTTCGGAGTAATCTCGAAAAAAAAACACACACACACACACGCACACACATATACATACATACAGACATAGTGACAACATCGCGGGGATAGTCAGGGAAGCTTCCTGTGACCTTCAAACGTCGAGATCTGATGAAAACTCGATTTTTGCAAAACGGGGTGAAAACAATAACTTCCCGATTTTTGAAAATCTGAGATTTTTAGCGGGAAGTTAAAAACTGGTACACTAAGATAAAAGTGCAGAGTTAGCTGAATTATAAAGTTACAAGTATAAAAATATAGTTTTAAACTTTTTTTTGTAGTTGCTCGAACTGTGTATTAGTTGAAGTAACTATGGATGAATAATTATATAGAATATATTTTAATGAACATTTTTCTGTTATCGTGTTAAACAAAAAATTGTTAGGTGACTAAAAGGTTGTTACGAACGATGTCTCAGATAGCTAGGCTGCAAGAGCTCTAAGAGCGTAACCAAAAGATCCAGGTCCGAATTAATTGCACGCCTCATAAGCAAAGCGGATGTGCTCTAGTCTCGCCTTACAAAAATCAAGTGATTTTTTTAACTAAAATTGTCTTTATTTATATTCTATTTCACTTGTAGAATAATATTTACAAAGAAATGTCATGGAAAAACACTAGTTTCGTGTGAGGTAAATTTACGATGTGGTAAATTTAACGTCGTGCAGAAAATTATAACAAAACCATGTATACGTTTTTTGTGCTTAAAAAACTGCGTTGGATGCATTTTCGAAAATAATAATCGAACGACACATTCAAAAATTATAGTTGTTTAAAAATTCACAAAATTTTGTTGTTTGGTATTTTTAAATTCCCGCTAAAAAATCGAAGATTTCAAAAATCGGGAAGTTATTGGTTTTACCCCGTTTTACAAAAATCGAGTTTTCATCAGATCTCGACGTTTTGAGGTCCTAAAAAACTTTCCTAACTATTCCCGCGGTGATGTCACCGTGTCTGTCTGTATGTATGTGTGTGTGTGTATGTGTGTGTCTGTCTGTCTGTATGTGTGTGTGTATGTGTGTGTGGGTCTGTGTGTGTCTGTGTGTGTCTGTAAATCTCTCATAACTTTTGAACGGCTTTCCCGATTGGATCAAAATAAGCGCTGTTCCAAAGAGTTTTATTGCCCTTAGATTTCTGATACCAGTTCAAAGAATTTGAGTCAATCAATTTTGAGAAATCTCACAAATTAAATTTCCAAAAATTCGTTTTTTTGGAATAACTTTTAAACGGCTCTACCGATCAATTCCAAAAACTAATCAGCTCTTAAAAAACCACGTCGATCACCACCGGTCGAGTCAAAATCGGTTGATTCGTTCGTGAGATATCGTTGTCGAAAAAAATTGAAAAAAAATGTTTTTTTTTTTCAGAATTTCTATGAAATTTGTAGTCTGACCAGTTCGCGCTCTAAGATTTCTTAAAAAACCTAAAAAACTGCGTTGAATGCCGTAAACCGCGAGAAAATCGGTTGATTCATTCAAAAGTTATTGCAGTCTGAAAATTCAAAAAATAGTGTTGTGTGAAACCTCTATCAGACTTTTGAGCTCGGAGAGCTCAAAATAACACAAAAACTATACTTTTGAGATCGAAGAGCTCAAAAACATTATAAGTGAAATTTTAAGCACCTGGGTATGGAATTAGCGGGAAGTTGCAGGGATGTCCTTCAGGGTCAACCGTTTCTAATTTTTAACTTCCCGCTAAAAATCTCAGATTTTCAAAAATCGGGAAGTTATTGTTTTCACCCCGTTTTACAAAAATCGAGTTTTCATCAGAT